AATGTGTCACTACGCACGACTGAAATTGTATGTTCATAACCGTAGCAACAGACCCCAGATGAGCCCAGACGCTCTGCGGCTCTTGTTTTACTTACCTCTGCCTTGATGACGTGCCTACCTTGACACGTGTCTTAATTCCACCACATGTCGTTGACATTTTTCTCCTGTTCGTTTTTAGATCTCCTGTCTATTTCCATATTACAGCCGAAAAGTTTTTGTTGGTATTATGAGTTCCTGTTAACATGCACGAAACAGTACTGTTGCTGTTCTGTGTTTTGACACTTTGTAAAGGTTACAGTCTGATTTCTGCTATTGTTTTGATTTCTGAGTTTGTTATTGGGACAGTTAAGCATAAGTGGGAAAATTTTATCAGTTGATCTAAGATGAGCGAGTTTTATCTGGCAGTGATGTATTTCCGCAGATGGAGAGCAGGATGAGAATGAAGAGGAGGAGGAGGATGATGAGAATGAGCTGGACAAGGAGATGGGAGACCTCGATTCAGCCGACGCTGACAAGCTAGATGAGCAGATCTGGGGAAGCGATGATGAAGATGAGGAAGAGGAGGAGAAGAAGGACAAGGTATAGCAGTATATAGCACATAGTATATAGTATATAGTATATGGCATATAGCATATAGTATATAGTATATAGCATATAGCATATATAGTATATAGCATATAGCATATAGGTATAGTATATAGTATATAGCATATAGCATATAGCATATAGCATATAGGTATAGCATATAGCATATATTTTATAACAGGACGCGAAATTAGCACCGGCCCACCGACATGCTAGTAAATTATTTGGAGGGTCAGTAACATTAGCGAAACACTTGCCTTTTGAGCCGGTGGTTCCAGCCGTGTTAGCGAGTACCTACACTTATATTTATAGCATTTATGAGGAATCAGACAGCCTACATCAATGTTTTAGCTGAAGGATATCATGTTATAATTTCTCAACATTTTACGGGTTTAGCCTCTACATAGTCTCACAGTTTCACACAGCAGTAAGTCACATTAGCAACGCTGCTCTCGTGTTTCAGAGCGAGGAGAAGGGCGCCGGTGACGGGAAGCGCAGTGCGCCGGAGCTTGTCGCGAAGGAAGACGACCTTGAAAAGGATGAAGAGAACGGCGGAGAGGAGGAGGAGAAGGATAAGAATGAGCAAGAGGAGCAGGCCATCGATGAGGTGAGTGCCGCGCGGGTGCTGAAGATAAATACTCGTAGCAGTGACGGTAGTAACGTGACGCAAAGACTTGATAGTATCATTGACGTATATAAAAGATTTGGTAGTGTCATTGACGTATATAGAGGACTTGGTAGTGTCATTGACGTATATATAAGACTTGGGAGTGTCATTGACGTATATATAAGACTTGGTAGCATCATTGACATATGTAAGACTCTGTAGCATCAGTGACATATATAAAGGACTTGGTAGTGTTATTAATGTATATAAAAGACTTGGTAGTATCAATGACATATATAATAGACTCGGTATAGTATCATTGATGCATATATAAAAGACTTGGTAGTATCAAAGCTTACATAGTATTATTAACAGTTGCTTCTCAGTGTATCCTATCGATCACACTCCGCACTCAGCATCAGTTCATGTTTGCACGTTTGCCGCTCTTGCCACCAGGGGGAGTACGAGGGCGAGGACATTGACCCTCACCATGGCGACCAGGAACCGCAGCCGGAACCTGAAGGCCTCGACCTTCCCGACGACCTTGAGCTCGACAGAGAGGAGAAGGAGGGGAAGGAGGAGGAGGAGGGCGAGGAGGAAAATCCGTACGACATTGACAAGGCGGCAGAGGAGGAGGAAGAGGAAGGCAAGGCGGCAGAGTCTGAAGACAAACCCGGTGATGAGGGTGAGGAGAAGGAACGTCCGGAAGAGGAACACGCAGAAGATAAAGAGGATGAACATAAGGTCTGCAATGTATTTGCATATTATTCATTTTAGTTAAAAAATATAATAGTAAAATGGGATATACACACATATATTTATATATATTAAAGTGCAAAAAATAAAAAATAAAATTGTAAAAATTTACTTAATAAATAAAAATACCGTGCAATGTTAACATTTCTTCTGCAATCAAGAGCAACCGAACAATATTTCGACGGCCGTCAATTTCACTCTGTTACGTATCGTTTTTCAGGACGAAAACGACAAGCGAAAAGAAGAAACCGCGGCGCCCACAGAGACCGAAGACGAGGAAGAGAAAGGAGAGAACAACGAGCAACCCGGCCTGAATCCCGAGGAGGAAGAGGAGAAGGTGGACGACGATGAGGAGGAGAAGCAGAGATCGCTCGAGATGAAGCCAGACGAGAAGCAGACGGAGGAATCTCAGGCAGTTGAGGAGGAAGCGAGGAGCCGGGCCGCCGCGCAGGCGACGATGACGGAGGAAGAGAGGAAGCAGGGGGAGGAGGCGATGGAGAGCGAGACTCAGGCTCCCGACCAGGAGGAGGTAGGTGTCGGGGGAGGAGCTAGGTGTAGGGGAAGGAGGCGATGGAGAGCGAGACTCAGGCTCCCGACCAGGAGGAGGTAGGTGTCAGGGGAGGAGGAGGTATCTATCGGGGTAGGAGGCGATGCATAGCGAGTCCCAGGCTCCCGACCAGGAGGAGGTAGATGTCAGGGGGAGGAGGTAGGTGTAGGGGGAGGAGGTGATGGAGAGCGAGCCTCAGGCTCCCGACCAGGAGGAGGTAGGTGTCGGGGGGAGGGGGTACGTGTTCAGAGTGCCTTCGTTTCCCTCTTGGATGATGTCGTGTCATTTATCATCTCACGCGACCATTGTCTCGTGCAAAAAAGCAACACTTCCGATCTTTTCTCTCCCGCAGAAGGAAGGCGTGGGCATTGCGGAAACCGACCGCCGGCAGGAGGGGCACACTAGCGCCACCTGTAGTGCGCAGCAGGAGCAGCAGCGGGCGGGCAGCGAGCGACAGAAGCAGGGAAGGAAGCCGGGGAAGGCCGATAGCGAGAGGAGTCTCGGCACGACCGAGGAGGAGCCGGTCCACAGGAGGCTAAAGACGACGGAGGAGATGGGCAGGCGGGAGCGAGAGGTACGGCGGCCATCTCTCGTCGTCGCGATGCTCTAGAGTTGTATTCGTCGTCGTGCTAAACGTTCAGTAACATCAGAAACACTTACGGATACTCAGTCAAAATTAGTCTTTCGATTGCTAACATGGCTTGATTGTTTTCAACAAAGTCCTGTAAGCTAACTGTAGTGGAATCACACATATGATGCCCAGGGGCCCGTTGTCAGAAACAAAATTTGGCTTAACATTAGCATTAACTCTACGATGTTTCTGACAATATGGCCCCCAGGTTTCTTCTTGCAGTGTAGATACGCAAATAGCCGTTCATCGCTCGTTTCACAGCTGTTTTAACTTGCGATCGTGCAGGAGCAGTCGGCCGAGGCGGAGAAGAGAACTAGCGACCTCTATCAGCACATAAAGGAAGCAAAGTCGTACGACGCGCAGACACTAGATGCCGCCACCCAGGAGCAGACGGAGCAGCAAGCTGTGCCGAATCTGGATGAGGAAGAGGCAGACCCAGCCGAGGAAGGAGAGGAGGCGAAATCAGATGAGGACAAGGACAAAGAAGTGGGCATCTCTAGCATAACTCACATTAATTCACAAAATAATAATAATTATAGTGATGATGATGATGATGATGATGATGATGATGATGATGATGATGATGATGATAATAATAATAATGTTATTATTACAATTGCTAATAATAATAACAATAATAATTATGTAATAAATACAATAATTATAATACAATAATTATAATACAATAAGTAATCATAATAAATGTGATAATTCAGCAGTGGGTCTTTCTTCAATTTTCATAAGCCGCTGACGTATATTCTCTTCTGGCGGCGGGTACCGACGATTTAAGGAAATTAATGCATGAATTTATACATTAATGTGACGACCTATTCTCTGACTCTGGTAGAACGAGATGGAGGTAGACAGCGCAGCACCGGCCAGACTGAGTGGAGCCAAGCCGGATCCGAGCCAGGAGAAGCAGACGACAGAGGAAGCAGAGGAGGGGGAGGAACAGCAAGCAGTGCAGGTTGAAGGGGAGAAGGTGGAGACGACGTGGATCGAGAGAAATTCAGAGTCAACTATCCACACGGGTACGCAAATATTTGCAGTTAGCAGACAACTGAGTATAAACTTCTGAACATGAGTGGTGCCAAGTGCAAACTCAACCATGGCAAATTGCAGACAAAAGATTATGTGCTGGTTCCCTGAGCAGTAAGATCACATTCACATAGCATGTGAGCACCTCAAATTAAGTTTTTAGGTGAACATTCCCAGGTTTTGAAATCAACTCCTCCATCATACAAATATACAATTATCGGGAGTAAAATAATTACATGTGTTAATAACACACGCTCTACTAATGTGCTATTATTTATTTTACTACTGCAATTATGCATGTCTGTGCACACATGTGTCTGCATGTGTTCACGTTCAGGTGTTTATATTATTTCGTTGCGTGGTGGCAGATCTTGAGAGGCTTGAGCTGGGATCGCAGCAGGGTGTGTTGGAGGACCTGGAAAAGCTGAGAGTGGAGCTGGAACAGCAGCTGTCCACGTGGAGTCACGTGAGCCCCACGGAGGAGGTACGCGAGCAGACGCCGCCATCAGATGGCAGCATATATGCTATCTTCTTCTTTTTACACACAACTTATCGGGAAACATAATAAAAGTGTTAAAAACACATTTATTGTGTATTTCTGAACTCATGTTGGGCAGGACGATCTCTTTTCGTGTTTTCTCTTCACTTGATGTTCAGTCTGGTTTGTCGTCAGAGTTTTTCTAAATCTTTCCTCTTCTTGTCGCAGGTGCAGGTGGCAGCACAGGAGGCCTGGCACAAGTACGACGCCCTCACCGGCGACCTCTCTAGGGAGCTGTGCGAACAACTGCGACTTGTACTTGAACCGACGCAAGCATCGAAATTAAGGTACTGAACTGCACTTATTGCATGGCTAAAATTAACATAATTGAACAAAAATCATTGGCCATTATTTTATTTATTTATTTAATTTGAAAGGGATATAATGGGAAATAAGTATTTATTATTATTTACGTCTCATATGGAATGTGATTCTACTGGGTTACTCACACGAGCTTTGGCGAAAATGGTTGGGGCCACATTATAGTGAAGGACAACTATTTGTTGTTGATGATATTCTAATCAAGCTTACTGCATTACTGTCGCTTTTCTTGAAAATTCTGCTCTTTGTGTAGTGCTTGTGTCTTATAGTAACAAAGGTGCTCGCATGGAGCGGGAGTAAGTGATATACAGATAGGTCCTGTTTTACGATGGTCCATTTTACACCTTTTAAGTTGCCTAAAAAATTGAAAATAACAACAAAAAATCGCAACTCAGTAACACATGGCAGCAACGCCTGTGAGTCCAAACATGCAATATGCGCTTCTTTTGTTTTTCGTGGTGCATTTTGGGTGGAATGATAGCATTTAATTGCATTATAATTTGGTCTTGTTTTACGACTTTTCATTTTACGACCCTGTTTTACTGGAATCTAACCCTGTCGTAGAACGGGACCTACCTGTGCTTATGATGGTTTGAATCGGCATTTCTTGCCTCGTGCTTCAGGGGAGACTTCCGGACCGGGAAGCGTCTGAACATGCGCAAGGTGATCCCGTACATCGCCAGCCAGTTCCGCAAGGACAAGATCTGGCTGCGTCGCACGAAACCCAGCAAGCGCACCTACCAGGTGATGCTGGCCGTCGATGACTCATCCAGCATGGCCGACAACCACTCCAAGCAGGTGAGAGCGTGGTGCAGAAGCACGGGGGACGAAGGGGCGCATATTTATATTAAAAAATTTAAATTTATTATTTATTCATAACACGTTTAATTATTAGTAATATAATTTTTGCATTTATTATTTTATTATATTTTTTTATTATTTACTTTTACTTTCTTTAGTATGGGCAATTTGTTGTAACAGTATATGTTCTTTGAAGTTGTAGTCGGTTTATTGCTCTAACTTTTTGCGTTGCTGATGTATGATACTTTGTGTCGTCATAGTTGGCATTTGAGTCGCTGGCGGTGATCTCTAACGCCCTCACGTGGCTGGAAGTCGGCGAACTCGGCGTCTGCAGCTTTGGCGAGAACGTTCAGTTGTTGCATCCGTTTCACGAGCAGTTCACCGACCAATCGGGAGCCAGCGTCATGCAGCAGTTTTCGTTTGAGCAGAAGAAGACGAATATCGCCCACCTTCTTGACTATGCAACGGGTGAGTCAGGTTACCACGGTGACCAGGCTAACTCGCCTGGTTAGAATTACTTTTACCGCATCTTTTCTTTGCTGTAACGTTTCTCTTGCTTGTTTCCCTGTGCATAATAATAATGAAGGTTTTTGCTGTGAAAAGCTTTACTATAAGTGGCTGTCCACGTACTTTACAAAAGATGCCACAATGGAATCATTAAGTTTTGTTATATATATGGGATGAATCAGGCCGGATAGGTGATCATTTTCTTAAACAAGTTAGTAAATTACTAGATATCAG